CACAACAAAGTGTCAAATGTTAAGGGTTAACATACAACATTAAGGTATCAAGGATTGCAGGGTCTCAGAAAGCGCTTGACGTATTTTCCCCTCTTATTCAATACATGTAAATAGATGCACGCTTTTGGAAATTACCATTACGGGAACAAACCATTTTCCATTTCTGCTAAAAAACCACTAATCGTTTAACTTGTTCCTTTTTTTGTCCTTTGTACTATTCCAGACAAATTGGATGATTGTGACTTCATGTACATTAGAAACCGACCCAAACAAGGTACAGTCTCATAACATGTTTTGTTTGAGTTCATAATGTTGTCAGTGGTTTGTGTTTCATGATGTATTCTAACTTTACATAATACACTGCTAACAAACCCATAACTGTCTGTATCTCTCTCTCTCTCTCTCTCCCCCCCCCCCCCCCCCCCCCCACCCTGTCCCTCTCCCCTTAGACCTCAAGGCCCTGGCGAGCGCCCGCCAGAGCCTCATCTCGGAGCGGAGCGCCGAAACACCCTCCTACCACCACCACCGCCACTCCTCCTCCTCCTTGCCCTCGCCGCGTTCTCCCTCCGTCTCCAGCCTGTGCCGCTCGCCGCGCCCCGCCTCCTACCACCCGTCCCTCGGCTCCCTGCGGCGCGGGCCCGAGCCGCTGTCCTTCGCCCCCGAGGACACCTTCAGGGAGCTGGACGAGGAGGACCCGGCGTTCATCCTGGAGGACTACAGCTGGGAGGGGGAGGAGGCGGCGGCGGAGCTCAGCGACCCCACCCTCAACCTGCTGGACCACCATGACTTCCAGGTACAGCAGACTGTGTGTTCACATGTGTTTAGTCGTAGGATGCTTCGGTTTCCAAAGACGTATGCATGTCAGGGTACATAGCGGAAAAAATATTTGACACTCAGGATAGAGGAAAGTATGAAGAGTGCCGTGGTCCTGACTAGCTCAACTGGTAGGGCATGGCATTAACATCGCCAGGTTTTATGGGTTCGATTCCCACTGGGATCACCCATACTAAAAATGTATGCCCTCACGGTATTATAAGACACTTTGGATTAAAGTGTCCACCAAATAGCAAGTTTCAGGGTTATGTCTAAACAACAATGATATGTAATGTACAATATATACATCAGTACGTCATTATAAGTCAATTGATTTATATGATTAACAATTTGATGAATTCAATAATTTATTTAGTTGGTCAATTGCTTGATTCGTTGATTGCTTAATTGATGGATTGGTTGATTCATTGTTGACTTGGTGAATTTAATATTTAATTGACAAATGAATTCATCCATTCATCCCTGGTAGGAGGAATTCGCGCCCCTCTACGACCTGCAGCACTCCTTCCTGTGGATCACCTTCAGCGGGAGGAGCGAGGAGGAGCTGCTGGGCCACCTGGAGAGCGTCCGGGAGGCCGCCAAGAGGAGCGGGAGGCACTGGGCGCACAGGCGGGCGTGCTTCCTCCTCGGGAGACTCTGTGCCAGGAAGCTCAAATACTCCCAGGTTTGTGTTGAGTTTCTGTCATTCCTGAGGGGTTTACTGCCAATGCAGTCATTTGATCGGACTTCATGTCATGAAGGAGAAGCGACAGGAAGCAGCCTTCTTGTATAGCGTGTGGCTATGGCTATACCTACAGCCGTATAGGAATTTATATATTTTGATATGCCATTCGATCGACGCTTTTATCCAACCTTACAGTACCATGAGTGTTCTTAGCATGGTTGGCCCTGGTTGGAATTGCTTTACCAATTGAGCTACACACGACCAACCATAATGGCCACATTATGCTCTGCAGGTATCATGTGGGTACAAAATGAAGATGCTATGTTTTTTAAGTGTTCATTTGCCCTATCTCATTTGAATTACAACCCAACCCCTGTCCCGGGCGGTGTTAATGCCATGCCCTACCGATTGAGCTAGACAGCACCAGAGTTCATGCAATGACGACCATATAAAAGTAGCATTAGCAGAGGCGGTGATATATTTTGCTGTGGACAAACATTGACCTGATGACCCTCCCACGCAGGCACGCGTGTACTACGAGGAGGCCCTGAGCGTCAGCGTCGCGGACGGCTTCTCGGACGCGCCGCTCCTCACCGCCCTCTACGTCAACCTCACCGCCGTGTACCTGAAGCAGCGCATGACCGACAAGCTGCCCCAGACGGCGGAGAAGGCCAGCGCCCTGCTCCTGGGCTCCCCGGGCCACGACTTCACCTCCCCGGACGAGGCGGAGCTCCTCAACCTGCTGCTGCGGCGGGCTGTGGTGCGGGGCGACCGGCACCTGGAGGCCCGCGTCTGCTACCTGGCCTCCAGCCTCTTCCTGCTCCTGCGCAAGACGGACGACGCGCTGCCCTTCGTCGAGCGGCTGCAGTTCCTCTCGGTGAGCCTGTCGGACGCGGACGGCCGGGACGCCATCGCCCCCCTGGACCTGAACTGGCTGCTCAGCCAGCTCTACCACCGCAAGTACATGCCCTTCCTGGCGCTGGCCGCCCTCAGCCTGGACTCCAGGCAGGACCACTCGCTCCCGGACGCCTTCCGCAGGGTGGATCTGTTCGTCGGGAACGCCAGCCGCCTGAACCCCCGCTGGAAGGAGGGCACGGCGCTGCTGCCCGCCCACATCGTGGTCTACCTGCAGCAGGCGCTGGCCATTGCCGAGCAGGGGAGGGACTGGGAGACGCGGAGGGACCTGTGTCTGGGGCTGGCGTGGGTCTACCAGCAGTACGGCGTGCTGGACAAGGCGGTGTGCTGCGCCCAGCAGGCCGTGGAGACGGGGGGACACGTCAACGAAGAGGAGGGCTTCCAGGCGTCCGTGCAGCTGGGCTGGCTGCTGGTGCTGACGGGCCAGACGGACCGGGCGCTGGACACGCTGCAGCCGCTGCTCACGTCTCTTCAGGTGAACATTTCCTCCAATCCAGCAGAGGAGTTCAGATATTCATATAATTCAAACAAGCCATAGGTCCATCGTTTTAGGTAGCGGATGAGGTGTCATATCCCCCCCCACACACACACACTATGTCAAGCGCTTTGGGTATCTTGAAAAAGCGCTATATAAATGCAATGAATTATAATTATATTGTTTGACTCATCTATTGTAAGATATTGCATTGCTATTCTGTGGTACTTACATTTCCTGTAAATAATACTACATTTGCACTTCTGGTTAGATGCTAACTGCATTTCATTGGCTTTGTAGCTGTACTGCAGGATAGTTCTGTCTGAATTACTAAAGAGTACTAGTAGTAAATACTACAAATAGTGTAAACAGAGCTACTAATATACTACTAATAAGCTATAATACAGCTACTACTAATACAATGATAACAGAGTGGTGCAGGGATGACGTATTTTTGTAGGCCAACCCGGAAGTTAGCATCGCCCTGGGTTCCCTTGACAACAAGCCAATGGGTTTTTCCCATTGGATTTTGCGTTATTGCAGAAAATAAGATCTGTGGCAAACACAAGTTTATGATACTTACACGTTTTGTCAAGCAAGATAATCTTCACCAATGAACTTTATGATTTTTGAAGCATAAATGCAATCTCCAGAAGTTTTTTAAGACATGTAAAAGCTTCAAAATTCACGAGTAGGGTATTTACTGATTTTATGTCATAGACCAAAATGTGGCAATCTCTTAAGTGTGTGTTTAACCACAGAGCGTATTTCAGCCATCGAATCAAAAACCCATTCAAAAAACCCATTGACTTCGAGACGAGGGAACCGGAAGTGCCAACATGCTAACAGATTTCCGGGTTTTAGGACTCATCCCTGCACCTCTCTATAATGATAGTAATAATAAAAACAATAAATGAAAAATAAAATAACAATAATAGTCATCAATTTTTCAGGGGAGCGACAGCCCCACGCAGCGAGGGGTCATCCACAACCTGCTGGCCCTGTGCCTGCGGCGCCAGGCCCGGGTCCTGGAGGCCGGCTGGCACCTCCACTCGGCCCTGGCCATCTCCCGGGAGAGCGGCAACAAGAGGAACCAGGCCCTGGCGCTGGCCAACCTGGGCTGCCTGGCCATCGACGTGGGGGCGTCCTGCCTGGCCGAACGCTACCTGATCAGGTCCAGTTTACATTTCTGCGATACTCGTATTGTGTATTTTTATTCTGATTTTATTGTTGTTATTTACGGACAAACAGGGGTTATGTTTTCTATTTTGTCTATTTTATATATTATATCCTGGTAAACATATACATATTATATTATATTATATTATAACATATGTTTATCTATGTTTTGTATTATGTTAGTATATGCTTTGCCAATATATATATATATATATATATATATATATATATATATATATATATATATATATATATATATATAGTGAAATTTGATTTTTGTGAAATATCGAATTGTGTATATAGAAAATATTATATTTTAAAATTGTATCTCTTTCTCTATGTTATCACTGTATTTCTGCCGTGAGTGACACACATTTCCTGAGACTGATGAAGTGCATCTTATCTTATTGCCTCATCATCATCTACAACTATCTAATGTTTCGATCATCATGGCGGACGATAATCTCCCCCTGCACCTTCTGGGTTGTGACCATGACTGGTTTGTGTTTGGACAGGTCCCTGCGTCTGTTCTGGGACCTGGCAGACAGCCCGTCGGAGGAGGAGCATGTGCAGACGTACATGTGGTTGGGGCGGAGCTACAAGGACAGTGGGAGGAGTCGAGACGCCAGGGCCTGTTATGAGATGGGGCTGCTGATCGCCTTACACACCAAAAACCTGCATGGTGAGCTGCAGTGTATGCTTTATGTTTGTGATGCAGAATGATTCGCCCAATCCTTTGTCCATGGGAATGGACAGATGAGATGGGGTCACTCAGTTGGCTCTAATTAAAATCATTGCTTCAAGCCTTCAGCTCAGAATCTGTTCAGGCGATTTTATGTTTGCATGCGGTTCACTAAGTAGATGTCCTGACAGCTCAATCATACCATTGGTATTTTTCAGTATTGGTATTTTCAGTATTTTTCACTACTCAAGGCAGGATAGTCTAGCGGTTAGGGTGTTTTAATCCGAAAAGCCAAAAGGTTCTGGGTTCGAATCCCAATGGCAGTCTATCTGCGGACATCCTTGAGCAACATGCAAATCACATACCTGCTAATGAATGACATATTTTTGGATAAAAGTGTAAAATAGTAAATATTACGTAAGTTTGTCCTCCATTCTCTCAATTGAATCTACTTTACACACTGATCAGCACCGTTTTAACTGGACTAGCGGTTCATCTTAGTTGAGTGACAGCTGTGAATCCCTGTCCACTCTCTCTCTCTGCCACAGGTCAGATGGTGGTTGCCAAGGTGCTGAGCCGTCTCTATGCCGACATGCTGCTGTACGGCCAGAGCATCATCTACTACGAACACTGTGTGACCGTGTCGCGCGAGATGAAGGACAAGCGGCTGGAGGGGGAATACCTGGAGATCCTGAGCAACCTCTACCTCTCGCTAAACACGGAGAAGTGAGTCTCTCTTTCTCCCCCCCTCCTTACCCCGTCTCTCGCCCTCTCTCTCTACATCCCACCCCCTCTCCTTTTCTCTCTCTCAAGTCAAAGGGCTTTTTTTGGCATGGAGAATTACATTTACAAAATTACAGCACATTTACAAAAAGTCAAATAAGATACAAAATAATAATCGTCATTATAATAAAAGTACTACTATCTTTGAAGGGTAAGTAAACCCCCAAATCCCTTTTTCCAAGACCATTCCGTTTTGGTGAACATTTCTGTGTTATTTTTGACTAAAATGTAGAAAGTGATCCAACAGGGGAAATTCTCTGAATTATACAAGAGGTCTAAAAACTATTTTCCAAAGTGGTCGTTTTCTATTGACTGCGCACTCAAGCGAGTGACACGTTTATCCTTTAACAACCTTATTTATCTTTTGTAGATTATCTATTTTACAGCGTAATGCTCTAACAATCACAATGACTCACTCATATTTGTGTAGTAGTAAAGGTTATAAAACTGCCATGCGGCAATGCGATAAGCATCTAATATTTAACCAACTGTGCGGTGTCGCGTGGCACAGGTCACACTTCACTATCTCCTTAGGGGAACAGCGTAAACCTGAGCTGGCCTACCCATAATCTCAGATCCAGCGGTCCTACTATGTTATAGCAGGACTACTGATCCAGCGGTCCTACTATGTTATAGCAGAACTACTGATCCAGCGGTCCTACTATGTTATAGCAGAACTACTGATCCAGCGGTCCTACTATGTTATAGCAGAACTACTGATCCAGCGGTCCTACTATGTTATAGCAGAACTACTGATCCAGAGGTCCTACTATGTTATAGCAGAACTACTGATCCAGCGGTCCTACTATGTTATAGCAGAACTACTGATCCAGCAGTCCTACTATGTTATAGCAGAACTACTGATCCAGCGGTCCTACTATGTTATAGCAGAACTACTGATCCAGCGGTCCTACTATGTTATAGCAGATCTACTGATCCAGCGGTCCTACTATGTTATAGCAGAACTACTGATCCAGCGGTCCTACTATGTTATAGCAGGACTACTGATCCAGCGGTCCTACTATGTTATAGCAGAACTACTGATCCAGCGGTCCTACTATGTTATAGCAGGACTTCTGGGGGGAGACGACATTGAGCCTGGTCCGGAAACCAGGACTGCAAGGATCAGAGTTACGCCTTGTTTCCTGTTCGCTGCGGTGATATTCTACCAAAGAAAACTAATTTGCGCAAGTGGATGAAGCTTTACTTTTACCTTAACAGACACTTGTTTACAGTTTACCATTGATGGACAAATTTGTGTTCGCCAATTACACACTTACAGATCAATGCCTACAGCAACATGACTGTTCGAAACCAATTTGAAGCGAAATAAAGTCAAACCCAATAGCCTCTTTTCACAGAGGTGTCATTGTAGGACAAACAAGCCATAGTGTTGCTCATAACTTTGTCGATACGCACATCCCCATGTCGTCTTTTGTTGCTGTTTGTTTTGTGTTCGTCAATTTTTATTTTGTTTGGCACCAGTGAGCAACACTTTTCTTTTAAGCCGTGTGGGATCATCACATAACTCACCAATTTTGTTGTGTTGCAGATGTAAAACGCTTTTACGATGCCGCCGTGTACACGTTTCATCTTTAACTTACTTGACTGCGGTGTGTGTTGGGTGGCGCAGGTCATCTCGTAAATCTCTGGACTACACCAAGCAGAGCCTGAGGATCTCCATCGACCTCGGCAAGAGAGAGGAGGAGTCCGAGACCTGGCTCCAGGTGGGCCGCATCTACTACCTTATCCACGAGGACGAGCTGGCGGACATGTACCTCCAGGTGAGACAGACAAAATAACCATCAGAGTATCATTAACCTGTGTGTGTGTGACGCAAGGGTGGTGGGCCAAGGAACAGCAGGAGGAACTGTGATGAGGATAGCAAGGGTTGTTGGTGGCAGACAAAACAACCTCCACACATTAGTGACCTCTAGCGGTAGACTAAGGAACAGCAGGAGGAAATGTGACTGCAAAATAAGGTCGTTGTAGGTGGGGGTGATGGGGGGGCATGCTTGGGAAAGGAAGTTAATAAGGTGAGAGCAAAAACGCCCTGGCGTAGGAAACATGGAAATAGATTTTGTAAGGAGGGTAGAGCAGTTAATAAAGATTAGACTTAAAGTTAATGAGGTGTTTCTCCAAGGAGGGGCAGGAAACTTTCTTTAGCTGCACCCAAGCTTACTTTGTGTCCCTTGCATGAGCTGTGTTTCTTACTTTCTTTAAAGTGAACAACACTGATAAGCATTTCAACAAGACGGTCTTCACTGGTAAACGGCAGGGGCCTATTTTATCACATGCTCCGTATTTTGCCAGTGATCCAGTTACATTACTTTGATCACTTTTAACCTCAGAGTCCAGATAAACTCTAAACTACATTACACTAATCTGTCCTATAAACAGCCTCTTTGATTTTTACTCTACTTTCTTTTGATGTTTTAGAGTCATTATTTCACCAATCACCATGATGGTAATCCTGTTTTTCTGACACAGGCTGCAGTGAAGACAGCGTTGAGGATGAATGACCCTCATTTTGCAATGAGCATCTATGAGGAGGCTGGGGACGTGTTCTTCAAGGGCCACAGGAACAGGATGGCTTCACTGCCCTTCTACAGGGTGAGGACGGTTGTGTGTGGCTCATGCTGTGGGCATAGTGAATATAGAAACGTCTTCTCGCATGTTTCTAATACTGTTCTGTGTAGCCTATATGTTCCATGTCACAGCCATTTGTACACAAAAATCGTTGATTAAGTGATAAACACATGACACTTTCTCTGGTTAAGAATACACTGATTCAGGTGAGATGTTTAGTAATAATAGTTATTAATTGCTTTGTGCTGCTCATTTTTAGGATTGAAATATCCAATCAAATTTTACATGTACACCCAGTACATGTGCTTCATGGTGTAATAGTCACATGTTCTGACAGATATTTCTGCTTCCGACACTTCATTCCAATGTTTGTCGTCCATCCATACACGCATCCATTCATCCATCATTTCTACCTTGAATGATAATTCACTTTTGTATTGTGTTTGTATTTTCTGCAGGACGGCAGCCTCCCCTTCGCCCGCAGCATCCGAGACGTCCACTCCGAGTTTCGCCTGCTGAGTAAGCTGACCGAGCTGCTGATGACCCAAGGAGACCAGCAGGAGGCGCTGCAGTACGCCACACTGGCCGTTCAGATTGGCAGCAAAACAGGTCTGTACCCCACACACCACCAGTGACACAACACTACCTCGATGATTAAATCAATCAAATAATGAGATGAAAAAAATAAACCCTAATCAACCCTAATTAACAAACATACATTATTGTTGATGGATTTTTTTGCCGATTGTGGCTTGTCTCCACTCGTTTCCAATCAAAAGGTACTGTGTTTGAGTCCGGAGCCTACCTGTATCCTTGGTTGAGATGATCCTTAATGTAATCGGATCCTTATACACCACCTTGTTGTCTTGCTTTTTTGTTTGTGTGTATGTCTCTCGCCTGTATGAACTGTGACAACACATCTCCTCTGTGAGAACAATAAAGAAACTCCATCAGTATCTGCGTGACCGACCTATATGTGGCTTTGGATAAAAGCCACAACATTGAACGACGACCTTCCCCTGTCCCCTCCTCCCATCCCGTGACCCTCGGCGGCTCCTCTTCCTCCGCAGGCGTGCATGTGAACGAGCGGACGGCCTACCACCGCCTGGCGACGGTGTACTACCGCCTGCGGCAGTACGAGCTGGCGGAGAACTACTACCTCAAGTCCCTGTCCCTCTGCCCCTCGCCTGAGGTGCTGCACCCCATCCAGGCCCGCTACTTCACCAGGGTCTACACCCGCCTTGGAGACCTCACACTCTACAAACTCAAGGTGAGAGAATACACGCTGCGACGGGTATACCTGACACATTGTATTTCATACAAAGTACCTGTAGGTCGCTTTGGGATAAGAAGCGGCTGCCAAATGATCAAATGCCTCGTATTTTTTCTCAAGTTATACTGAAACCTCATTTCTCATTAAACCTTTAAACCGTATTGCTTATTTCTTGTAGTTTTACTGTAGTACTGTATACTCCCAAAAAATGTCCTGCGTCAAATATTCGATGGCCAAGAAATGATGTGGTAACATAAACAGTGACAATGATGAGAGGAAAGACGAGGTGCGTGTACCTCATCATCACAGTGGTGCCAATACCGTTAATATGAACCAAAGGTGGACCTGGTAAAATTGCTTCTCTATACTATACTGGTAGACCGTGCACAGTAAAATGTCCTCCTACTGCATAGGGCTTGTACATCGCAACGTCACATTGCAATAGAGTGGTGCAGGGATGACGTATTTTTGTAGGCCAACCCGGAAGTAAGCATCACCCTGGGTTCCCCGGCCTAGACAACAAGCCAATGGGTTTTTCCCATTGGATTTTGCATTATTGCAGAAAATAAGCTCTGTGGCAAACAAAAGTCTATGATACTCACACGTTTTGTTAAGCAATATAATCTTCACCAATGAACACTACTGTTATGACTTTTGAAGTGTAAATGCAATCGCCAGAATTTTTTAAG